GTCCGTGATCCCGATTCGCCTGAGCGATATCGCAGCGTGATGTCACCAAGATGATGGGCGCCATTGAACGCAAGCCTGGGAAGAAAATCGGAGGGCAAGAAATCGAACTTCGTGCGACTGGCAATGAGCGATATAAGTGTTTGGGAAGGGTTATTTATACTCCCTTCGAGCGCACCGACTTGGAAGGACGTAGAACCATTGCCGAGACCAAGATTGTCTTGACCTTTGACTTGCAAAGCAAGTAAAGGTAGTAGTGACAGAATGCAATCGCGTGTCAACATGGTGAGGATCCGAGGCCGAGCCTGTACTGTTTGGATGAGAGACTGCAGGCCATGTGGTCATTGATATATGCACTGCATGCATCGCTAGTAAGCCGGTCCTTGGAACAGCAATCGGTACCTATAGCGGAAACAATTCGGGCTGACAATATAAATTCTGCCGTATACGACGGCAAAGACTGTCCCCACACGACATCGATGACATTACCCCTGCAAATTGGCCTATTTCGCCCTGCAGAATGGTAACCTTTGCAAATGTGATGAAGTTTAATCCAAGGCTGATGACCCCATACTTCGTGATCGTCCTCGTAATGGATGCGGGGTAAGGATGCGGGAAATCAACGACGTGATGTTGCTGCGCGAGTGGCTTGTCCCTGATGATCACAACTTGGAGAGGAAGGCATTTCCAAGCACATACCAGCTATCGTAACATGCATATCGGTATTTCCGCCAATGGCAACAAATACCAGTCGCCAATTGATTTGAGATATTCTCTCCAAGTTTTGTGAGATGGCAAAGATGGCACATTTGGGAGGAGAAGTTGCCATCCTGTCAAAGGACAAGGGAGGTGGTTACAGGTAGGGACTAGTGCGAACAACATCTAACTACCGCCAAATCGACTATTAAAAGAATCCTTCGTTTCATCTATGTGGACATTTGTATCTAATATCGGAACAATGTTCCCCGTCTACTTCTAACGAGGTCTTGCCATACTTGCCTTGCCCTCGCCGTCTGAGAGTGCAAACGCATTATTTAGCAGTCTGTTCATTGGCGTCTATGATTCACAATTGCATGTCTCTTAACGCCGGAGGAAAAGTGGGAGTTTAGTGATGGTGGGATAACAAAACTTAAGCAACACCAACACTTTTCTATACTAGCTCCTTTCAAAATCTTTTTAGTAGAATAAATTCTATCAAACAGGGCAGTCTCTTGCTGGAAACTTAGAGCCTTAGCTTTATTATGGCAGCGTGGGCAAGACATTGTTTGGTGTCGTGAGCAGTTCTTAACATCCTACTTTTCCTCCGGCGCTAGAGCATGTATCTCTGCCCTGCGTTCAGCTGCACCGAGGTTGCACCGGCAACATCTCCGACTCTGCTTTCAGTAAATTCTCCTTGTTTTCAGTCCAAGGTAGCTGAAAATACCTACGCCCTTCCGATTTCGTGATATCAGGATAGCTAGTCTAGGGCAGTAGACGCTGCGACATCTACAAGTGTGCCACTTGATGCGCAGGAAGAAAATTCGATCTAGCAATGCAATGTCCTCTCTTCTGTGATATAACTTGCGGCCTTTTTTAGATGTTTTGTAGACTATGTCTAATTCATTAACAAATCTATTTATAATACCTATAATCGTCTCTAAAGGTAAATTTTAGACAGTATAAGTATGTGGCACGTCTTTTAGGATTCAAGTAATACTTATATTACCTTGTTACGATGTAAGAAAACCACATTATCTACACTCTTAAGCAAAATAAAACATGTAGCCTAGATTAGCAAAAGAGAAGGTAGCGTGAATAACTAAGTAATTTCCTGGACTCACACAACATACTCTCTCTCTCTCTCTTTCTTAAATAAGAGGAACAGGGAATTACTACTCCTGTTAGAGCAAAAAGAAAAGACCGCCCTGAAGCAGCATCGACTACGCATAGCTTGGCTTTTCCAGGTGATAACTTCAGGAACAGCAAAAAAGATGTTGAATGACCTAACCAGGGGTCGCTGATTGGTGTTAGTGGGGACTCGAACCAACGGGGTCGAGACATAACTTACAACCTGGAATCTCTTGATATCAGATTTTACAATCGTAGTCAAGCGCCTTGCCATTGGGCCATTAGGCCAGTAACTGATTACTGTTTAGATGAAAGAATTGTCAGTGTTATGATATATAATGTATTAAATTTTGACAGAGAGTCTTGAAATGTGCGAAAGAAAAGTCTACGGACTAGCGTGGCGGGGTAAGGATTAACCACCAAACCTTTGCCCCACTAGACCTCCCAGACCCAACTGGATACATTTATTCCAGGCAGCAATGGAGTAGACGCACATGTGTGCACCCATTATGATCTGGCAACATGCAAGGCTTTGACCGGTGCCATGTGTTATATCACAGCCACATCTTCTAGGATGGTATCTAATCCCTATCCAGCGCATACACATCCCTTCTTGCGAAACCATTCCCATGTGCATTCCCTCCCTTGCCAGACCCCCAATAAACACAACACCAACCAACTCCATCCTCCACCATGACAAACGAGACCACCGCTACCACCGCTCCCCGCACATGTACCCCAGTCCTAGCGCAATTCCCCGGCAGTGATTTCATAGTCGGCGCCGGCGTAGCCATTTTCCACATTGCCACGGCCAGAGTGGTGATATGCCGTGCCCAAGACCGCGGCTCGACGTATTACTTTTTGCCCAAGGGGCGCCGGGACGCGGGGGAAGAGAGCGGGCCTGGTGCTGAGAGGGAGGGCTACGAGGAAGTGTGTGAACCCCATCATTATTACCATTCATCACCAACCCTGCGCTCTCCAACATCTCCATAAACCACAAACACCCACCAAGCGAAACAACCACGTACAAACTACAAACAACCTCCATCCAAAGCTAACAAGACACCAACCACCCCCCCCTAGTCCGGCTACCGCAACCGCCTCCTCCCCCTCCGCATTGCAT